TCCCCTTGCTTATGGAAGGCGAACAGTTTTTTTACGCCTTGAAGTGGTTGTAGCCTGAAGGTATCGCCAACACTGCGGTCACGATCACCCTGCTAGCTCGATCTACTATTTCCCCCGCCTGTCTCGGAATCCGGAGTCTTACATGGTGCCTCTGGAGTCTCCGAAGGGCGAAGCGTCGTATACTAGTCTATGATCACCAGACTCACCGCGCAGGCAGCACCGTGCCCACCCACGCACGCGTCTGAGATCCTCGGAGGCACTATACCAACTCAAGTACGCTTAACTCCCCTCTTCTTTCCCCTCCCTCCCTCTCACTCCTTCTGTCCCTCGCCGAACTCGATTTGTAGGAATTCAGGGCCGGGTTCAAGTTGCTAAAACCAGACGTCGGGACGCTCAGGCTAAGTACGTGCATGCTGACTTACTGTGCACTCAGCCTGGAGCCCGAAGTGTTATGATATTCGAATAGCCCTGGTTATCCCTAGATTGCAATCCATCGTGGGCACGCCTGTGTCACAGCATGTGTACCCGCCGGTACGATATGTCGAGACAGGTTAGACAGGCCATGACTTCTAGCGGGAGCAGTACGGAATCAACGTGTCCTTCTTCCGGATGTTCCTGATCGCTTGTCAATTCTCGCACGGTTTCAGACAGATGCCCACTCGTGCCATTCTTGCCAGAGAGATCATGCATGCATCATGGCGAAAAGATACACGCCTGGATCGAGCTAGACACTACTCATTCGTGCTCCAACATGGTCCCACATAGTACAAGGTGCGAAAGTGCGACAGCATCGAACGTTCTATACTTCTAAATATCTTCTGCTTACAGTCTAGTCTATGTAGCTGTGCTGCTCTTGAGGTCGAGGTCCAATGGCATGTACCACCCCAAAACCCGAGTACGCACCGACTCGGACTCCCGAGTTTCGAACCCCACGAATTTCAAAAGTACCAACGGACGATTGCGAGGGCTGGCTAGGCGTTACGGTGTAACGTAGCCATAACCGTTATGCATTTATGTAAGTAATGAGAATTCTCGTTCATACTTTCTTTGTCCGACTTTCCGAGTCTTCGCAGCACAAGACAAGGCAAGTTAACACGTACATGTACGTATATACGTAGACGTGGAGCTTCGAAGTAAGCATCGCTCGGCCGTCCCGTTTGCCGTCTGGCAATGCGCACCGGTGTTGCGCTCATGCCTCTCTTTCTCATCTATCATCATCTATCACCCAGTCCGATTCTCCGACTATCTGAATAACGCTAACTTACTCTCTTCTCTCAGCCTATAGGAAAAACTCGAACTCAAACATTCTCGATTTTCGTACACCGAACAACACCGATTGCAACTGACGTGTCCCGTCTGATAGTCTACCTATCTCCGTTCGTATCCTCTCTCCATCGATCTTTTATCCCTCATTAGTTTTCTCAACTCGTTGTTCTGCTATAATCTGCTCAAAGGTCCGCTACATAGTAAAGGCGCACCGCACCGACGACCGACGAGCCTCGGCATTTGCTCATACCCATAGGCCTACGCCCACACCCACAGCATAAGCTCAAGTCTCGCACCGACACCTATCCCTCCCACGCACCGAAGCAGCCAATGCATGGGACGAACGTGGAAGAGATAATCCATAATTCATTAATCATTTAATCTACCGGCTATCATAGAACCATGCTAGCTGTACGGCATACGGCATACGGGATCGATTGTCGATTCTCGAAACACTAATGTCCGTTCTCATGAAAGGCGTGGCGCGGACTGGGGGCACGAAGAACCGGTCTGTGTTTGGTAGGTGCTGTTGAGTAGGTAAGTAATGTGGGGAATGAGAGGCTGGAAGTTCTTCGAGGGTAGGTAAAGTTCATGTTCTTCCCTAGAACTGTATCTGTGGGAGGCTCGTTGGAGGGCCTCGCACGAACTGGGTGTGTGCAGGTGGCCTTTCATTCGATGGTTGGTTCTTAAGTCCTGTCAAACCGGTATCCCGGATGTGTAACCCATCGGATTTCTTTGCACAAGCTGACAGTGGGTAAGTGTGGTGTGTAGGTGAATGTTTGTGCTGACACCAGACAGGAGGGAAACAGGGGGACAAGGGGAAAGCGAGAAATCAATAGGAGTAAAGGGGCTCGGTTAATTGGCAATCTCCCGAACCCAATCTCAACAGCACCCTTGGACCCTTCGGCGGTGTCTTGACCCACCGACACAACTACGCGCACCCCAAAATGAAAGTCCGGAGTCGAGAACGAAGTGCGGTCATATGCGCAAGGGACCTGCTGCGGCAATGGTGAGACTCATGACGTCTACTCGCCGACACACCGCTAGCCGCAGGGCGCTCCATTCCGCCTACGGGCACTTTCATTTCACCCCGAATTCTGCATTCTGAGTATTTGTTATTTGTTATCAGCTAACGGCTATCATATCATATGCATGTTGGTATGTGCGAATAATGGTGGATGGCGGACGCGGAAATGACTTGGAATGGGGGCCAACCAACGTCTGATACTCATAGGGCAGTCAAATGCAATTTAGTTGGAAGGCGGCGGCGTGTGGTACGGCGGTCGCAGGATGCAATGCTTTTGGCGCGAGATGTGAACACGTACGAGGTACCAGTTGCAGGGAAGACGAGATTCATTCGTTGGTATATATCCTTAACGGCACGCAAACACGACCGCGTACGACGGCGAGACGAGCCTATAATAGGAGAACGGGGAAAATAATAGGCATCAAAACCAAAAATCAAATAATCGCTAGTGGCTCAGAAGGAGAGTACGGTGAGCCTCCGAGTTTCAGTTGTAATTCACAATTACACGCCTCCCCTGTAGCCTCTTGCCGGCTCCATTCCAGGTATCAAAAGTCAGTTCGCTGTTCATGGTCCCTTCAACTCAGGACTTACTGCGCACACTTAGAATTGCTTCCCTCAGGCGTTCAGGCGTCCCAGAACTTCGTGTTCCGAGGCCTAAGGTTTCTTGCTGGTACGTACATATGCAAAGCAAAGGGACGTAGACGATAAATTCCGCGTGCAGAGGCGGTTCGATACCTTCTCTAATTCGTTGATTTGTCACGCCGGTAGAAAACGACACGAGTATAGGGAGTTCCCGAGGCGGTTATCATTCTCTTCCTTTCTGTACCCCATTTTCCCGATTGCTCGACATCCGCTGCAGTTGAACGTCACAAGCACACAAGTCTACTCGCCGGAGCCACTCATGACTGCGATTTTCAAATTCCTTCCCCTCTGTACAGTTGAGGACAGTCAAAGTCCGCAAATTGCGTAGCGCTCGAAGGGGATTTTTTGGGGACAAACTAACGCCAGATTCAGACTCAGGATAGCTGAAAACGTCTGAAAAAGCACCTCCGAAGTTTTTCCCACGAGAATCTGTCTGCGCCAATATTTTGGAGCAAAAAATTCAAATTGTGTGTACCTCTGTGGGCCTTTTCGGGATGACAGGCGCCCAAGACTGGGCATGCAGCCCAATTCTTACGATCCCCGATTGGAAGTTGCGTCGAAATATCGCTAGCCTTTGTTTTGGAACTATCCCAAAAGCGCCTCAAGCCATAAATTCTCACACCGACGGCGTTTTCTCTCACGTTCCTGGTTTTCCCATCACGAAGCGCCCAGAAATATGAATATTTTTTCTCAGGAACGGCTCGATAGAAGTCCAAGATTTTGACGGGATCAACATGAGCTAATCAAAAGGAGTCGATTGGCATATTTTTCATGATTTTATCTAATATATTCGGCTTACGCCAAAAATTTGAGGGTATTTTCCAGTAATTCGCCTTTTCTGGGCGATCGGCTCGTCAGAATTGGACAAGCACGGTATCATTCGAAAGGGTTTTCAAGCCGGAATGTATTCCGCGCAAGTCCGGAGCACAATAAAAAAACTTTTTATTTTAGCGGACTTTGACTGTCCTCAACTGTACCTCCGTGCCTCTTTACTCCCCAGGATCCGAGGCCTCCTGGTCTCGTACGTACATATACGGTGCATATAAAACCAAAACGAGAGCCAAAGCACGTACTAAAACATACGCACCCTCCCCGCAGCACACTCCATTCATTCGCTCAACGTCCATTCGTTCGTATCCTTTCGTACGTTTCTGAACGTCGACGTCATCGTCTCCACCTCCCCATGCCGCGTTACCGAACCCCGAACGGTTGTATCCCTGAAGCAGAGCCAACAACCTGTTTCCACTGCAGCGTACACGATTTAAGAACTAGACGAGCTTATAAAAACCAAGGGATAATATGTAGACATGCCATTATATTATTTCTTCATTTCTTTTTTCTTTGGAATCTTTACAGTCGTTAAAACTATCGTAACATATGTATCCTGGGTACGTCTGTATGTATGTGTATAAATCGCGTAAATCGCGTGTAAAACATGTCCCGTTGGTCTTCTCCATAAACGCTTTCAAATCATACAGCCACGAAGCTACAAGCAGAGGGCGATAGGAAGGCGCGCATGAAGTAAATCGTGGAGAGTAAATCATGAAGTAAATAAAAAGAGATAATACGTTATGTTATATGCAGCATGTAATCCGAGTCGTTAAAGTGTAATATAATATGTACATCCGAAAATCCGAGGTGATATCCACAGAGAAGTGATCCAGTATCTACAAAGAAAGCGAAACGCGAAATAGATCCAAAATATATCTACAAGAAAGCGAATGTTTGAAAGCGAAATCCAGAGGATGTGATTGGTGGAATAATGGGAGGAGAGGAAGGGGAGGAGCAAGAGGAGGAGCGTAGGAGGCACAAGGAGCATGAAAGGGAATGGTACGCCGTATACGCGGTTTTGCTATAGCGAACGCTACGGCATGCAGCAGAACACTGGGCAACAAGATCAGCTACATATCAACATCAAAACCTCGAGTGACTTACCAGCACTAGTTACCAAAACTTCCCGCTCCTGAATTCCCTTTCTCCTCCCAATACACGGTTCTCCCCTTCCCTCCTACTCCACCACCTCACCAACCCTCACCCTCTCTGGTCAAACTCAATGTTCACCAATTCACCAAAAGCCCCATCTCTTCCTCCCCTCCCCCTTCCCTGCTCTCCCATCCGCACCCACGTCCTCAGCAGGGAGCGGGGAGGGAGGCCCGCCCAAGCCTTCGACATCCCCGAAGCTCACATACCCTGGGAGGGTGCGGCACTGTGCTGATGCGCGGCGCGCGTTGAAGGGGCGTGTCGCGCTGTCTGCGTGCGGGAGGGCAGTAGTGGAAGGGGTTTGAAGCATACCATGAGTGTGGGCACTTGGATGAGAGGGATGGGACGGGTGAGAGGGCGAAGTGAACGGCGAGGCGAAGAAAGGGGACGAGAAGGCGCGTTTATGGGTCGACGTCTGCCCGTTTATGTGCCCGAGCCGCTGATGCTCGTGCTCGAGGAACGGCGAGGCAAGCGGCGACTCCGCATCTGCCTCCCCCTCAGCATAGAAGAACCGCTTCTCCACCCCGTGCCCCTGTAGCTGGGTATGCGGAGGTGCATTCGGGAGCGCATGTCCGGGCATAATGGCTGCCGGTGGGTCGAGCGGAGTAACCACCCCTGCGCTCGTGTTCGACGTACTGGTCGAGTTCGAGGCTGAAGTAGAGTTTGAGGCGAGGGAGAGCGACGTGTTCGAGCGGGTCGTCGACTCCCTTTGTGTCGCCACACTGGGGGGAAGTGATGATTTAGGTTGAGGAAGGGGAGAAGGCGAGTGGGGAGGTGTTGGCGGAGGCGTTATCATCTCTCCCTTCCTTCCCTTCGGCGCAGGTACCTCGGGTCCACTTGACAAGGTGGGGACAATGGGTACAGTCCTCGACCGGCTCCGCGCATGTGTCATACCCGCAGTAGTTTTGGGGACATGCGGCGACGACTGCACGCGCTTATACTCCCCCGTCCGTTGGTGGTACGGCGACCCATAGGGTGTAGTCGTAGCGGTGGTGGCGGAGCGTATGCGCGGAGGCGTGCTGTGTTCTCTTGCTCGCGGGGGCTGGGCGGGGGACTGCGTGGGATGATTAGGCGTCCTGGGCGTCCTCGGGCTCGCATTGTGGCTCTGTGTCCTGTGCGTCCGCTGCATCTGCGGCGTTTGGGGTGTCTGAGGCGTCGGCATGTAGGATGTCTGCGGCGTTCCCTGGAACTCCTGTATTTGACCATTCAGTTAGCATACGTCATTGCAATGAGAAAAACGATGCAACGCACCTCTCGCACTTGCGCAGACGAACCAGACCCAGACCCAGAAGCAGACCCTCGAGCGGAAACACGCACTCGCGCCCCGCGCTCGTCCCACACCTCCACCTCCGCCTCGATTCCCCTTGACGGCGACGGCGAGGCCGACCGTGGGGGTGTAGATGCCGAATATGAATATCCCTCCCCGCCACTGATGTACCCCCCGCCCATAGCGCTACTCAAAAAGTCGTCCTCATCCCCACTCAGCCGAATCCCCAATCCTCTCATCATAACCGGCACTCTATCCCGAGATGCTGGGGTTGGGCTGATACTCCTTTCCGAGGCGAGCTTCCTGCTCGTACCCTTTCCATTAGCACTTGAGCGGGACTTTGACGACTTAGTGCTCTGCCGTCGTTGAAGGTCGCCGCTCCGACTGCTTTCCCCGTTGTAAGGAGAAGGATAGTCATTGGGGGAGACGACCCGTCCCACGGCCAAGACATACTCAAGGCGGGAGCGGAGGGCCTGCTCGTGCGGGCTCAGCGGTGCTGGACGTAATGTGTTCATATTCTGTGGATTAGAGGTAGAGTTCGGTGAAGTCGTCGAGCTTGTTGAATGAATAGGTTGTTGCTGTTGGTGGTGGTGGTATGAAGAAGAGGAAGCGGAAGCCTGCGACAGCGCGTTGTATGCATTCATATACGCCTGGGCCTCCGTCTGCTCGTGCTGTTGACTTTGCTGATGACGATGTTCCGAAGTATGTGTTTGAGCAGCACGCTGTGACCTCGTGTCCGCCTCTCTCTCCGTATCCCTACCCGCGTTCCGGGACGATCGGGTGGAGGGAGAAGCGATGTGGGGAGCATGCGTGTATTGATGGGAATGGGGGGAGTGCGTGGACGGAGATGTTGGGGACGTAGGCGACGTGGGCACCATCGCGCTGCGGAAGAGGAACGAGCCCGAGATCGTGCGATACGTCTCCGTCTCCTCCAAGTCCCTCTCTCTCTCCCTCTCCACATCCCGCTCCCTCGCCGCCTGCCGTTCATCTCCCCCGCGTTGCGAGTGATGATCGAGCAATGGAGAGCGGCTGGGGTTGTATGAATACGATCGGGCGTGTCTGCGCGGGGATGTGTGTGAAGGGTTCGAAGCGCCCTGGGGCTGGTCTGGGCGTGACGACGTGGAGGGGTGTGATGAGGTCGAAGCGGAAGCGTGGGGCTGGTGTGAAGAGGTGGAGGGGGCAGACCGCAAGGCGTCCCGGAGGAGGCGCTCCGAGCGACTCGGGGGGCGCGGCTCGTGATCTCGCTCATTCCTGTACTGGCGTGGGCTTGATGTCGGTGGGGACATCATTTTGAGTTTGGTGGGTGTATGGGTTTGCGTGTTTGTTCTGGGGGGAGAGGGTGAGAGCAGGAGAGTGGCGGGGGTGAACGATGCGCGGAGTGGCGTGCGTGGGGTCCGAGGAGTTCTGGGTGTTCGAGGTGTGTATGGGTGTGATGGGGGAGGCGTCGACGTGCGTGCGGGTGGTGTCACTGCTGTTGGTGCCGGCGTTGATGACGATGCCGCGAAGGTTGATGCCGGCAGTGCCGAAGCAGACGATAATGCCGCGAAAGGTGTTGGCGCCGGTGTCGAGGGGCGTGATGTTGAGAAGGTTGTAGTCGCCTTCGTAATCACAGGCGACGCCGCGAGCCGTAGCGGAGGCGACAACAATACCGTGGACAGCGACGAGTGGCGACGGTGGGTTCTTCTGGGCGAGGGTGCGAAGAGGAGCAGGGGGCGTTCCTTCGCGGGAGGGGTAGGTGGGGATGATAGCGGGAGGGAAGATAGGTGCGTGAACGGGGAAGAGGCGCTGCTCGTGCTCGTGCTCACTATTCCGTGCTCTTTTCCTTTTCCTTTCCCGTTGCCTTTTTCTACGCCTTTCTCTTTCTCTGCGTCAGTGCCAGTGCCTTTCTCTTTTATGCGCTCGTCTCCGGGTACACAATAATCCTTTTTATCCTCTTCGTCGTGGTGGTCTTTGTCTTTCTCGTCCGCGTCTGGTTGCGGTTGCGGTCGTGTTGTTATAGGCGAAGGGTAGCTGTCTTGTTTCGAAGTCGAAGGGAGGGGATGACGACGAGGTCCACGAATCTGGGGACCAGGAACAAGTGAAGGAGGCATCCTCGTTTATAGTTATAGCCCGCTGTAAGAAGTCAGAACCCCAGATTCTCCAGGCTTCGCCTTGGGGTGCTGCAATGCGGTCTATTCGCGTGCGGCGTGCGTGTGTCTGTCAGCCCTCTGCCAGTGGTCAGGAAACTTCAAGTGATCACGAAGGCCAGGATCTCAGGTCCGGTGCGAGAATGGCGGTACGAAAACGTGAAGAAGGGGTTTCGGAAGGTGTTGGGGAATTGGAAGGGAGATCTGGAATGGGACGGGATCTGGGACATAAGGTCAGCCAGCGGGTTATGAGTAATTAGGAAAGGAATGGGTGAGGGAAGGAGGGTATTGGGCGAGTGGGAAAGCGGAGGTGGGGAATTGATGAAATGGATTGGGGATAAAAATAATTAATGATGGGGATAATAATTAATCACGGAGAAAAGGTCGAAAGTAAATATACTGAAAAGAAATGAAAAAGGGAAATGGAAAATAAAAATAAAGTAATAAGAAAAGAATTAGTAAAAAAGGATTACTCACAGCGCGCTAGTTATACCAGTTCCAAGTCTAGCCAGTTCTCAGGCTCCTAGAACCAGCGCGCGTCGTATCGCGAGTTGAGAGCTCCGTCAGTTTTTTATCCGACTTCACGTGAGAAAAAAGACAAACAAAGACAAAGAGAACCTAAGAGCTCGAACTCGCGATAGAGCGGCTGGCAAGACTGTCAGAGACGCCCGCCATGACCCTGGTCTTGGCTACTTATCGTAGTCCTTAGCTGTCGTTATCACTTATGTTTTTTGTTGTTTGTTCTATACCTTTTACCCATTTCGGGTCATAAACTACAAGTCTTGTGATTCGAGTTAAGGTGTTAGCTTAGTATCTAGGGGTAGGCTAGGGTCCAAGTACAGGAGCTACGGGGCTCGCAGCAATGACAGTCTGTACAATATGACTCGTAGGATGTACAATTGACTGGTCCAGTTTCATTCCGCAGCCTTGAAAGTAAGATATAAAGCAAGTGACAGTCAGCAATTGGGACATAAGATGGCACACTGGCACTCACCCACCATCATTGAATTACTCCTACAACTCGACGGCGAGGACATCGGGGAGCTCGTCGTTGCATACCTCCAGAGGTTGCAGTCCAGCGGGATACCTGTTCACGTCGTCGTCATTGAAATCCTACAGGCGTTGCTCGCCCACTCAACTTCCGAGGACACTGCGCGGCGATGGGCCTGTGATGTGGCGTCAAGCATGTATGCGACTCAAATCTCAGCGTTGTCAAAGAAGAGCTCAAACTTACATTTTGGGGCATCATCGGCAAGAGCTGATCAGCTAAAGGATTTTGATCTCGATAACTTGGCGATCCAGTTTCAAGCAGGCGCGCCAGACCTATGGAGATGCTATGACCTCCTTCTCGCAGCCGATCCAGCTGTGAATGCCGCTCGTGAACGTCGAGAGCATCAACGTAAGGAAATGAAGGCGGCTACTCGAAAGGCTGCCCTGGCACAGTTTCGTTCGAAGCATGACGATAGCGATGACGATGGCGGTAACGATGTGTCTGAGCTATCAGAGAGTGACGATGAAGAAGATCCTATACTTGGCGACCGGGCAAACAAAGCTCGTCAGTCAACAATGACAATAGTGAGTAGCTGGTTGTCAGGTCACTTACAGTACTAAGCCGAGTTCCAGCGCAAAGTCGTCATGACTAGTATCATGCTGCAGAGCACTAATCAGTATTGCAATGCGCTCCAGTCCATGATGGGAATCTTCTTACATTCATGCAACGCGCCCGAGGATATAATCGAAGTTCTCGCTCGTATCGGCGTATCAATATCGACCACATCAATCAACGATGCGATCACTAACTTATCCAAAGAGTCTAGTACAGCCCTGCGGAGACTAGGGAAGACTCTAACAACATCATTTGCATACGACAATGTGGACATAGAATTGAAACATACCGTTCCAACCCTTGAGAAACCCCACGAGACATTGGTTCACCTCACATCGGGCACATTTATTCCACTCGATCATGGTGTCGTTCGAGAGGATCTCGATTGCTCGCAGGAATTGTGGCAGAGGTCACCGATGAATGCCGACCGAAGTGCTGTAGAACCTCCGATTAACGAGGACGAGCTTCTGCAGCTTCATCCAGAGACCCTGGAACATCCAACAGGCCTCCTTCGATCTGGCCGATTCAACACTTGGGTGTTTAGGCGTGACTTGATCCAGCACGGTCCACCATTCTTTCGTCGCTACCTTAAGGAGCTGGGAAAACCGGAGGTTGTGGAGCAGATCCCTGTTGTGAGATCTAGCCAAGTGCCTGCGAAGATGATGGATATCAGTCAATCGACACCACAAGGAAATGGAGACGCTCTCGCCGATCTATTTCGGCAGGTAAATGTCGGCGATCCGACAGAGAAGGGCTGTAACGAAGTGACAGACGTCAAGAACTATGTGGTACTGGTACACGGCGATCTACTTACCGGTGAACGAATCCAGAGCTTCCAGGCCTCACGCCGTATCGAGAAAACACCATGGCGGCGTAACCAGTTCATCATCTATGTGATGGGCCTCTTTCATTTGAAGATGGCGTGCGCTGATGCAATCTGGCGGATTTGCATATTCCCCAAGGCTGCGAGAAACGATCCTTCCAGTCTTATTGCATTTGTTGGTATCCTTCGCAAGAAGGAGACAGCCAAAATTGAATCGAAGCCGGGGTTCCGCCGTATGCATGAAGTTATCGAGCACGTTGGAGTCGTCTCACGATTGGACTGCTGGAAAGTCCTCGCATCGAAGCACTACAACGCCAGCCTTACGCTTGAGGATTTCGCGAAGAGGAAGCCTACATGGGAGTTAATCGAGTCAATGTCAATCGAGCTCGCAAAGGAACACATAGCAGATCCATCGTTTCACGATGTTCGGCAGAAGAGCAACCTAGAACGAGATAAAGTGAACGAAAACATGCTGTTACTTCAAGAATACTTCCTACTGTATGAAGAACTGACCTTTTCGATGAACGAAGGAGATATTGGCCGCCTCGAGAGTAGCTTCATGTCTTGGGTTTACATCTTTCGCGGGTGTGGGAAGCATAAGTATGCTGCACAGCTTGTCAGGTATTTGAAGGACCTGCACTTCAAGTATCGGCCATTTCCTGGGCTACAGTGAGTCGTATTCGCACCTGCGTAGATGAATTGCTAACGGTCATATGAAGGAAAGCAATACGGATGAACATACTTTGTAATCCAACGGGAAAACCAGGTCATTTTCGCGGCATTGATTGGTGGGTTGAACATAATAACCTGTACCTGAAACGAATCTACGGCGGGAAGTATTCAAATCATACGAAAGGACGAATTATGAAGGAATCACCTCTCATTGAAACATTCAAGAATGTTCGCGTTCAGGCCACGAAGATGTTCCATCTCGACCATCGTACTGTCAAACACTCACCTGCAAAGCTTGAGACTACGTTCAGGGCACTGGGCTTGTATATGGACGAAATTAAGGCCAATGAATTCATTCCTGGAAGGGCCGTGAATTATAGTATCGCGGACAAGAAGAGCGAGGGAATATTCCTGGGTATGACTAAAGCATCTAAAGCGATGCGAGGGGAAGATATTGACATGGAGGGGAATGAAGATGATGATGATGGCGATCAGTTGCCAGATATCGAGCACGAGGTGGAAGACGACGGCGATCTGGACGTATAGGCTTCCTACCGACTGGATGGGCCAGGCAAGAACATCGAGTAGTTCAAATTACTGTGGGCTGAAATCAACGGTTAGAAACGGTGCAATATTACTGAATTAACAACTTACAGGGTGTGATAGATTGCTGCATCGGCAGCGTAAGTGATGTTGCTAGCATTGGGGGTATGTTCTCGTTGGGCAGTGCAAGAGTTAGAGGCCGCGAACGTTGGCCTAGTTCAGTTTCTCGTTGGGCTTTTCGAGCGGGGCAGTTCGAGTTCGTTTCTACTCAAATATTAGTATGAACAATAGAAAAGGGAGTTGTAAACCCACTGATATGACCAAACTGGTGGCATTCGCTGCATTGGCGCTGCTTTGCTGGTGCGCGAGTTCACTTGGGTGCGGAGGAGACACCTGAAGGAGCTGGCAGGGCAGGCGGCGGCAGCTTTGGCAAATGCTGCTCGATAAGGGCTATAATCTGTGCGCCGAACTCGTTCACTCGATCTAAACTCCACCGTGTCTCTCTCGCAAGGTCTTCGACCGTCTGAATCTTGTTTCCATGGGCGCAATCAACGACACGTTGGATAACCATGTCGTGCATGAAAATCTCCACTCCGTATCAACGAACTGTGAGAGGGCCGAGCTTGACAGGCGCAGTTATCTTGCGCCATGAGACAATCGCGGCTTTGAGGTCTTGTTCTGACTGAACAGGCTGGTACTCCTTGATTGATGAGCGATTTGGTGCACGAGCCTGGTGAGGGACAGTGACTCCGTCGAAGAGTTCCAACAAGGCTGGAACACATTTGTCGCAACAAGGAGACATCTCATTGTTGCAGCTCTTTGGTCGGCATCTCGAGCATCCATCCGGTGTTGTACGGTCGCAGAGAAGGTGGTCGTTCTTTACTACGGTCATTGCCAACGTGTGTGAGAAGATACTCAGAGGGAAATAATGCGGGCTTCCCACTTACCACATCTGTCATTCCCAAAGTAGATAGCAGGCGGCTGTCGACGACAATCAAATCCACGTGTGTGAGCATTCACCATGTCGTCCAATGCAGGCTCGAGTACGTGGTCCTTGTGTTCACTGCCAATTGACCGATACTGATTACAGCGCTTGTGATAACTCTGGCGTTGTGTCTCCACATCAATGTCAATGGCTCCACCTCCTGTACCGTCCCCTTCACTCATGGGATCCTCACCAACGTCAAATGGCCTTGTTCCAACGGCATTCGTTGGCAATACTCGGTTAACGTTGCATGAGGCCAACGCAATTCGCTTTGAAGCTTGTCCCTCGGTTCCCTCCGGTGCTTTCCGTTTCCGACTCCCAAGCCCTTGTGTCGCATCCTTCTTCTGCCGGTTCCCATCGAAGCACTTCTTCTCAACGAAGATGATAGCCCTCGCCGTATTTCCTTCCCCACGAGCAGCACGCCCAATTCGCTGCCAGATCGCACAAAGACTTGCATTAACTTTCCACTGGATTACAAGTGATATACTCGGTAAGTCCAGGCCCTTTAACAGTCACAGACATCAGTTGATTATCCCAAGATTATTTAGATGTTTCTTACCATTCCAAATGCATCGGTGACGCAAAGCCCCCAGAGATCGCCTCGCTTGAAGGCCTCGTATTCGTCCAGGCGATACGCCGATGTCATGGTCGCATGAAACCAACGGATTCTCGAACGGAACTCCTTGGGTAATCGAGACTGCAGGAAACCGACTGCGTCTTCCGTCTCGCGAGTACTGTCGAAGAAGACGACGAATTTCGGCGGCGGTGCATCCCCTCTACGCCATCCATCTTTGATCAGGAACACTAAATCGTGGTAACTCGTAACCGCGTACTTGATCTGTCGGACGATGAGTGCAATGTTTGGACGATCGTTAGAGCGTATGAAACGCTTCGTTCGCATCGGTCGTAGCCGCAGGATCTCTGACACCTCGGACAGAACTGGTGGTGGTAGTGTTGCTGACGCAACGAAGAAGGGAATGGTATCCGGGATTACGAAACGAAGGCTGCCCAGATGCAGGTAATCCTTCCGGAACGAACTCCACTGGCTGACACAGTGGGCCTCGTCGAAGACGAAATTAAGGATAGTTGCGGTAAACTTCCTATTTTTCCATAACACTGTGCACGCCGAGCTCATCAGTATTTCAGGATTGATTATAATTACTTTGTATGCGCCGGATTCAATGGCCTATGGATTATATCGGTTAAAATCCATCATTCTGACTGGACGCAACTTACCTTAAACGTCTCCGGGCCCGCATTTTCCGCTGTTACTGAAATGGCCGTTAAGCCAATGGTGTTCAGCTGATCGCTGTTCTGCTGACCGAGGAGATTCAGTGGGGTCACAATGAATATTACTTTTTTCAGCCCATCCTCCAAAGCCATGACAAGCGGCGCGAAGAAGGATAGTGTCTTGCCGGATCCAGTTGCTGCAACACCGACAACATCAAATCCCTCGTACACTGCTTTTGCCATCTCGATCTGGAACCAACACGCGCGTTTTCGGAAATATTTGTTGAGGACGTCGCGGATCCGTTCATGGGTCCAGTTGCTCGACGACGACATGGTTCTCAAGGCGTTTGGGAGGAAATATAATAATAATAAAATAGTCATATTCAAAAATGGATAAACAGTATTGAATAAACAACAAAAAACATGAGTGATAACGACAGCTAAGGACTACGATAAGTGAGCCAAGACCAGGGTCATGGCGGGCGTCTCTGACAGTCTTGCCAGCCGCTCTATCGCGAGTTCGAGCTCTTAGGTTCTCTTTGTCTTTGTTTGTCTTTTTTCTCACGTGAAGTCGGATAAAAAACTGACGGAGCTCTCAACTCGCGATACGACGCGCGCTGGTTCTAGGAGCCTGGCCAGTTCTTAGTTCTATCAATACCTCAAACAAATCCCCTCGGTGTCTTCGCAACGCCCGTTGCAGAGTTCGGCGGCGTCTGTGTACGTGAAGGTGTGTAAGATCAGTGGAGTAGTGTTTCGTAGAGGGTGGGGTCGCGTCGAGGGTGGAGCTGAGGAAATAACGCGGTTCGTGTTCGTATACGCAGACGAAGAAGGTATGGCTGGTTACGGGAAGATGTATGCGCGCTGAGAGTGGAGGGTGGAGTCGAGGAATTAACGCGACTCGATTCTCGACCTTACCAAGTCGGTGTCGGCGTCAGTGAGGGATTTCGATGGGGGATTTTCGAGTCGATTGACCTTACTACCTTACTAAGGTCGCGGTGTATCTGGGAGTTCGTGAGTCCGTCAGTTCGAGGACTGGAAATTCTGTACTTGAAAATGTGGGAGTAGGGCGAGGAAATAACGTGACGCGGGTTGCACGTATCTTCCTGGAGGCGGAGCTGAGCAACCAATCGTCTCGCCTCGTCCCAAACCTCGGTGAATTCGTAAGTCAATTGTCGGCGTCGGTGAGTGTTCGTTCGGGGCTTCACTACGTTCGTGCGCTCGAGTTCTCGAGTAGTCGTTCGTAAGATCTTAAGCTTCAGAGTCGACGCGAATCGTCCGTCCGTCCGTTCGTCGTTCGTATATGCGCGTATATGTGTATGCAGTATACACTATACACCCGTACGAGGAAGTTTCGTCCTTTCTTCGCGCCTCGTCTGTTCTTCGTATCGTATGTGCTGCGTATATGCAGGGTTCGTGCGCTCCTTCGCTCGTGGCGGGAGAGGATGGGCGTTAGGGGGGGAGGAACAAACACGTACGTACGGCGCGTCTCCTTTTCTCCTCCAGTCGTAGAGGCGGCGGGGAAGGTGGTGGTGGAGGCGGGGAGATGATGGGCGGGAACAAGAGCGGGATCCCCCTGCTTCTCCTCGCTTGATTATGTTGGTTGACACACTATGGAGGTAGCTACGTAGGGCGGTCGTCAACAGGCAGCTGACACAATCCCCCGCCAACCCAAAATACCTAGATCAACGCAGATCAACGCAAATCAAATCAAATAGTGGGATTTTCAAATTTGCTATCCGTTATGATTATCCGTGGCATGTCTGGCATACGCACAGCCCGAGCGGGATAGGGCGCCTCCGTATGCCATACTCGGAATTCTAATTCAAATACTCGGGGGGTATGGAATAGTAGCAGCGTGTTTTGAGGTCCGGGCGGAGTTCGGGAGGTCGGGATGCATTTAATGTCTCGGGAATTTCCCGGTTTGTTGTGCGTGCTGTAACGAGGTGACGACGTAACACAAAACAAAACAAAACACAAAAACGCTGTGAAAGTGCGAAAATATCCAGAGGCGATACCAAGAAACTCAAAACAACCGCGTACGAGTACTCTAGCACCCTTCCCTCGTCTTTCAGATAAAACAAATATCTTACTATATTTGAATTTGAATCCAGGACCCCCGCCCCGCCCTCGGTATATCCCGTCGCCCGGAGTCGTGCGGGCGTCGGAGGGCGGACGGAGGTAATGAATATCAATCGATAATGGGAATTGCTAATTAGTAATTAGTGATTGGTAATCGTAGCCTTCGGGATCTCCCATTCCAACGTCACCCCATTCCAATTTCCTCTTTTTTCTAGCCCATTTTCTCTACAGTCAGCATCCGCAGTTGGCAGCTGGTCGTACGCAGCGTGCTAGTGATGCATCGATGGCGGGACAAAGACACGTAGGATATTAGATTAGATATTAGAGTCCAGCCAGAGTCCAGACACAAGAAATGACAACCAAGAATCCAGACACCCAAGAACTGGAGACAACGACAACGAAGAAATAACGACCGCGCAACCTCTCAAAACCAAGCTCAAAACCGTACTTGAAACAAAGTAATAATCTGCACTTTCTAACCTGAATTAACCGATTCCCTCTTAATCGAGGTTACATATACATTTTCACATAAGTGAGTAATCTCTTTGTTTTGATCGTTCGATCGCGCGGTGCGCCACCCGCCGTTTGCCGCCCCTCCCCCATTTCCCATTCCCCATTTCCTCCTCCACCCGGCATTCCCAGCTCTCCCATTCCATGCACGATGCCGCCACGATCGACGATGCCGCCCTCCCACCAACTTCCAAGTTCC